GATATTATGGAAAATAAAAAATGTTTGAAACCACCAACCAGGATCTTTATAGAATGTGATCAATCTTGTCCTTAAACTAGGAACACGTAGGAACCATCCATCAATCATGTATTAGTATTAGTATTAGTATCTATGATGTGAATGTGATAGAATACAATGTTGTACCTTTGTGGCAACCTGTGTCCCCTTGAACAATGGCACACCCGAGCTGGGTTGTCTTCTCAGGGCCCTCAAACGACTTAAACCACTTTTACTTTTACAAGTCTTTATTTTCCCAAAGCTATTTCACTGGTTTTGATGGAGTCTCAATTTCACATAGCTTTTTGAGTGTCGATTTTTCCCAGGGGTCCCAGGACTGAGGCCGCAACAAACTGACTGTGGCACAATCTCGCTGCCTAGCGTCCGCAGACATGGTGACGTGGAAAGGGGATTGTAGGCTTTGTGTTGATCGAATTTGCAGGTAACTGGAGGCCTCGGAGTATTGACGGATTCTTTTCCAAATGGGAAGGGCAACAAAACACCGCAAAATACTGCAAGTTTGCAAGAAGGACATATCGCCTGAACAAAAGTTCTTTCACTCTTTCGCCCGCATACACTCTGAAAAGTCTGTTTGCATCTCCCTTGTCACCGCAGATCTTGAAACGTGCTGCATTGAAATTGCTGCAAACCACCAGCCCAAGTGGATTGGGACGCCATTGCTCTAGTTGGTTTGTTCACAAGCAATGCGGCCCATCGATTTTGAGAGGACCTCTGTGAGTTTGAAAGTATCCCCGATTCCACTGGTCAATCATGGTTATTAGTTAATGGTGATATTGGTGGTATAAGTCATTTTCAAACACACCCACTTCTCCTAACTTGCTTGGACCCTCTTCTTTGTTGGTTCTGCCGCCAAGTTTGGAAGTTGATTTTCCGACTCGCGCTGGTCACGCGTGTCACCGCCCGATTCCTTCTTATGTGGTCAGTGGGGCCCCTATTTACCCAAAATTTACATCTGAGGGTATTGTAAACCATACCCCATACGTTCTGAATTCAGGAAAAGACACAGCCAAAACATAATTTGAGTTGGGAAAATCTATCTCAATACAAAAACCATTGATAACATGTGTTTGTTTGAACAACCAACTATAAAAGTAGTGTAAAACCATTGGTTTTTCTGCATGTTTTCTCTCCAAACTCCACCGTTTTTTTCATCTCGCGAGTAGCCGGCCTCCAAAGCGGCTCCTTGATGGTTGGGCTGCGGCCCTTTCCGGAAGGTCACCTGCGAGTCGACGCGACACCATGGCAGTTGCCTTTATAAAATAGTGACTAACTGCCGTCAAATAAAGTTCTACCTTCTCAAATGTGTTGTGTCTTTTTGCTTATAAGAATAAATGATAATAAATGACTAGCATCAAATGGGTTGATTATATATTACATATATATTCACTATCATCAAATTCAAATGGGTTGTTGCCATCAAGTTTCATGGGTTGATAATTGAGAACAAGAATATTGTTGTTCAAACAAATCTCAAATAACATACACCAACCAGGCAAGGTCAGGGAAATGAACGAGAGTCAGGATGTGTCAACTGTGTTGATTCAATTTGCTAAGAACATCTTACAAAATTGCTGACGCATTGTGGATCGTGACCTCGTGGCCGTGCACGGCCACCGTGCAGGTTGATCGAAAAATCATGACGCAATGAATTGAAGGTTTTGGGTACCCTCTTGGTAAACATACAAAAAACTATGGAAAATCATCATTTTCAATGGGTACGTCAACTATTTCGACTGGATCATTTTGAATAGCAAACTGTTAGTCATTACCAGAGGGTAGGGGATTAGTTCAACTAGTCATCTGATGTTCTGCTTAGTTCTGATCCATGGCCATGGATGACCCAGGTGTGGGTGTCTCCAAGAACTGAGTGCCCCTCTAGGGACCTAAAAAAGAACACCGACCCCTTTAGAGTGGCTGCATCACCCAAGTACCCAAGTATTTTCTGACCCTCAGATGTGTTGATGCACACTTAGATATAGCATTTCTAATGCATTTCTCCAATCATCATCTATGATTTTCTACTGGAGTATCACCAAATATCATCATCTGTGGCTGAACAACTATTGCCCATCTGGTCCTCTTGAACCACGGTCATGATGAAAGGATGCATCATCGAAAATCACAGAGCTGTCAGGCCTTGAAGTTCCTTGAATTTCAGTGCCCCCCTATCATTCAAACCCCAGGGCCCCATGGTTTGTTTGCAGTTCCCAGAACGCCACGGCCACCATGGTGGCTTCACTGCCGCCATCGCAGCGCACCGTGTTGAAGCTGTGCGAAAGCATCAGAAGCCTTGGCCATGACGAGATTCACAGGACCATCCCGGAGAATCCAGAGAAATCTGGAATTTAGGCGCCCAAATCCCATGACGGATCCGGCTGGTGCTGGTATATATATGCTAACATGACTGGGGTTAATCTTGATGGGATCCATGGCACACCATAGCAGCACCATGGATCCGTCATGGGATATGGTGAATCCTGGCGATTTCTCCCCAAAAAAATGCTGGAATTCTGATGCTTCGACTAAGCCACTAAGCTTCAGGCTGGCTCCTCAGCAAACCTTCCAGCCACGGTCTCATCCTTGGCAGCTCCGCGTGAGGGATAGGATTGGATCAACTGGAGAACACTCCAAAAAAAAACGAATCTTTTTGTACCCTCTGGTAATTTAACATAACTATTGAAAATCACCATGCTATTAGCGGGTAAATCAACTATTTCTATGGCCATGTTCAATAGCTATGTTAGTTTACCAGAGGGTTATTTTAGGTGATTCATAATTGGCTTTGTGATTTTTTGGTAGGGTATATCCACGACTATCCACTCAGATTTCTCTTCGGTGAAGTCGGCCGGCTGCCAGCTATGTCCGCAATTTTCGTGGTGACGCAACACTAGTTGCATTCAACATTAGCGAGCATTCACATATCCTTTTTTATCACGTTCAACACGTTTTCAGAAATTTCAACACATCATAGTTACAAGTTACATGTGTCATGTATTTCTTATATTTTCTTATAGGGAAAGAAATGGAAAAAACAAACACACCAACCAATGCCTTTACTGCAGCACCGAGCCGCCTTTCTGGGCTTTCTGGCTCATTCTGGGACTCCCGACTCTGGGGACACATTGAGGCCGGTTAAGGTTCGCAAGACCTGCAGAAACGTCTCCTGATGTTTGACAATAGGTTGGTTAGTGTAGCTATTCCTATTGGTTACATTCTGTTATAGTAATCCCCAACATCAATAAACCAGTTTGCACAACCCCCTATATTGACCAATCAACAGACGTATTTTTAATGGCTCATTTGACAATAGCTTCATTGTTCGCAAAAAAGCTGTGTTGGATAAGAATTATTGATAGTTATTGTGTAAAAGATAGAGAAAAATAATCGCATGACACATGCCGGGAGCACAATTTATCGATGGTAATTCTCAATGTGCTACCATCGATTCGTCCGTTTCTGGCACCATCATCCAGCAGATCCGAATCCAAATCCCACGGGTCAACTCTCAACTCTCAACTCTGCGCCTCGACGCTGCAGTGCAGCACTGCATTCCTTAAGGTCACTTCAGTCTCGCAATGTCTCGCATGCCATGAACAATTGAGAACAAAAATAGAACGCACATGAAAACACCAAAGCATACACCTTGTCTGGAACATCTTGAGCGATTGGGGGGTCGTTTGTGAATCTGCTCGACAAAGAAACTGCCAAGATGATGTACGGTACCATGACAACAATCCATCAGAATCCGCCTACTGTTGCGAGTTGACACTCTGGTTTGGGCAAAGCTACTGGGTTTCATGTAATTTCATGTAATTTCCAAGTTTTTGACGGTAAAAACATCAAGAAACCCATATTGGATCCAATGGGTCTGACACATTGGCCAACTGAAAAAACAAAAAGCCGCTCCGACTCCGGAAAGGTCTGTAGTTTGCTCCAGAAAATCCCCATTTTGGGCAAAACTATAGCTGTAACATGTTGTTTTTCTGGCCGTTTTCGGTTACGTGAAATGACCAAAAGGTAATATGGGGGTTGCCCCTAAATCATCCATTTGAAAGGGATTTTCCATTATAAATCATCCATGTTGGGGTACCCCCATTTTAGGAACCCACCATATGCAAAGAGATGCAAAGAGATGCAAAGAGATGCAAAGAGATAACGCAGCCAGAAGCCTCCAGGGGCCCCCAACACGTTGGCAGCAGCGAAGGCCAAAGGGTGAGCATGAAACAGCAAGGCCCACCACTTGAGGACCGACTTCAAATTCTTCAAGAAGAAAGGGCCTTGGATGAACTGAAGATCTTTCTGAACATTTGGATAGATTTGGGCTGTCACAATCGATCTACAACAATACCATGTTACATTAGTTTCCTTTTCACCACAGACAGTGTAGACTGCTTTCCTTTTTGACCTCGTGATAAAATAAGTTCCCATTTCTTTCCTGAGACTCATCTGTATATACCCTGTGGTAAATTAACATAGACCCTGGCAGATAGGGGTTGGAAGACTAGTTTCCATTAATAATAGGTGATTTTCAGGGTCTATGTTAATTTACTGGTGCCCCATAGTTAGCTAAGTTGGTTTATAACTCCCATAACTATGGTTTATGGCAGATATAACTATAGTTAATGGGTGTTATAAACCAACTTATAACTAGGGGGCCCCACATTGTAGTATCTTTCTCAGTGATTCACAAGCTTCCATATTCATGTTCAGTTGAACTTGTCAACGTGAACATTACCTTGTCTGAAAATAGGGTGATTGCCCCCAAAATCCAACCGTTTACCATCAGTTTTCCATAGTTTTCCCAGTTAACATTGCTATTTTGAGGCTATACACCATTTTGAGACCCATATGAAAAAGCTTCATACTGGTGTTTCCATGGTTTTTGAGGCTATAAACCATATTTTTCCATGGTTTTTCTCTAGTGTTTCCTATCCCACTGCGATCGTTTAAACGCCACTTTTTCACGACCCCGCGCGCGAACTCCGCGAGAACATCGGCACAGGCGCGTCCTCCTTTTTCAACACGTCCAAAGGCCTCGGTATATGGAGGTTTCAATGGAAAAATTAACGAACTAAACGGGAGATGTTTTTTGATTTTCCACATACATACATATATATATATATATATATGTATATATATATAACTTAACTATATATAATATATAATTATATATATATGTATATATATATGTGTTAATGTGTTTTATGTTGTTGTTGTATTGTTTTTTCCTATTTGTATTTGATACTGATCAAAATATGGGGATGTCGGGATTTCATATGATGCTTCACCAACAAACATGGATATCACATACATATTATTGCAATGCATTCAATAGCTTAAATAATGAACACATGGCGATGTTGCATGATGGAAGCACAGACTGCAGATTTTGAGCCGTGCCCAAATGGGTTTGCCCAAAAACAAGTTATCACAAAATCACCGTGGTTTATCTCAATATGTCCTCATTGAAATTGCCACAAAATGGTGTAGAATATTTGCAGAGATCCCAAAAATAATAGTGTTAGTTGATTGATGTTGAGTGTATATTCCACTATTCTCCCACAAGAAGTCATACTGTTGATTGGGTTCATTAATATCCCACTATATCATACTACTTGGTGGCTCATCCCACTTAGTAAGTGGGTTATAACCCCAGTGATTTGCATGGGATAAGTAGGGTTAATCCACTCAAAAAACTGGGGTGAACTAACCCACTTACGATTCGTGGGATGAGCCACCAAGTATACCCCCTATATCCAAATGAAATCGCACACATCGCAGGTTGAAAACCCCCCGGACCTCGACACGCAATGCTCTGCATCGGCTGCATCGGCTTCCGCACTCAGCAGCTCCATCACAGCATGGTGACCCGTGCGAGTGGCCCATTCCAAGGGGCTGTAGCCCTCCAAGGGATCCTGGAAAAGCGACTTCAATGTGAAAGCAGGACCAAGAGCCACAAAAATGATTCAGTTTTGAAAGGCTCCTGACTGGATTTATTGAATCGGAAAATTGGGTTTCAGATCTATCGAAAACAAAATTAAATTCAAAAGTTCCAGCAGGAAAAGGGCAAATTGAAAGAAGTCTTAATGGCGCACCAATTGCCCGAAAAAAATCGAAGCCTACTGCCATAAAAACTATTTCATTATCTATGCTAGAACGAAAACACACCTCAACGCACGTGTTCACATTGAATATAAAGCAAACCTGCAAAGATAAAAGACATGCAAAGCAGCGCTGCGTGATGCAAAAAAAAATGAACATTTTTCCACCATTGGATGTACCATTGCATACTCTCCGGTAATTTAGTTTTGCCATATATCCCATATTGAGTTGGTTATAATAAATATATATAAATATATATACATACATACATACATACATACATTACATTACATTACATTACATTACATTACATACATACATTACATTACATACCATACATTACATACATTACATACATTACATACATTACATACATTACATACATTACATACATTACATACATTACATACATTACATACATTACATACATTACATTACATACATTACATACATGACATACATACATACATTACATACATTACATACATTACATACATTACATACATTACATACATTACATACATTACATACATTACATACATTACATACATTACATACATTACATACATTACATACATTACATACATTACATACATTACATACATACATACATACATACATACATACATACATACATACATACATACATACATACATACATACATACATACATACATACATACATACATACATACATACATACATACATACATACATACATACATACATACATACATACATACATACATACATACATACATACATACATACATACATACATACATACATACATACATACATACATACATACATACATACATACATACATACATACATACATACATATACATATACATACATATATATGTATATACATACATATATATACATATATACGTATTACCTAGTTGTATATCACATATTAAGCCGGTTCTATATATCTTATATAAGGACCACTTAGCATCACATTCTGAAGCCGAGCCTGGCGAAGACCTTTCAGCTGAAGAAACTGGACCATCTCTGCATGCCTGAGCGGGTCAGCCTTCTCTTTGGTAAATTAACATAACTTTGGAAAAACCACTTGAACAACCATTGATGGGAATAACTCATGGGATAATTGAACCAATTAATAGGAATTATATGTATTACCCCTCTGGTAAACATACAAAAAGCGAACTGGGAAATCATCATTTTTAAGTTCGGTAAATCAACCAACTAAATAGGCCATTTTCAATAGCTATGTTAAACTAGAAGAGGGTAGCTATGGGAAATCACAAATGTTTAGGTGATAAATCATCGAACTAAATGGGCCATGTTCTACAGCGAATGGGCCAATTTCTACTTCTGCATCCCAATTCTGCTTATCGGATAAGTTCTTGGATCACTTTTTTTGCGGGGGGAACTCCCTCATTCTTAATCAACAAAGGTTTATTAATTCGGTGTTGGCATTACTGTATCTCATATATCCTATCATATTGTTGGCTCTTTCCCCATTGTATTTCCCATTTTTACCCTACAGCCAAGTGCTTCTTTGCAATCAAACTAAAGCAACTCGATTTACCACTAGTCATAGACATTCCTGTTGGGATCAATATATAGTACCCAAAAAAAAGATAGAAAAGTATACTCCCACCCGTATAGTATGATCTTACATGATTTGACTATATGGATGTTTCCTAGAATGGGGGTACCCCACCATGGGTTTCAATACTAAGTCATGGTCATCCATGACTTGGATGATTTGGGGTGCCCCTATTTTCGGAAACCCACAAAAAATTATTGCCAATCTTAGATACCCCAAAATATCCAATTCGGAGCTGGCTAGTAGATATTCACCCACCATCGAATTTCAGGGGAGACGTTGTGACCCAAATTCTGTAGCTTACAAACATTCTTCACGAGCCCAGGGCTATAGAATGAGGTTGCTGATATTCCTATTTGTATCAGATGACAGGAATCCCCTACAGTTAAGGCCGTTTACCAGTTATAAGTTATAATTTTGTATGGCCATAAGTGGGGTTATGAATCCATAAACGGGGTTGTAACTGGATATAACTGGTATTTCGGGCCAATATTCCTGAAATAGGCATTTACTTCCAGTCATCATCCATTTTTTGGTCGCATTTTCATGAAATTCACCTACCATGTTTGGATACCCCCATTTATGGAAACCCCCATTTGCAGATGACAGGATTCCCCTACCCAGTCGGTTGACCCAGCTTTGGCTGCCAGCGCCAGCGGACTGGCACCAGACGACGGTCCGACGGGCGAGGCGTCCAGCAGGACCCGTGCCGTTGCGCTGTGGCCGCGCGCTGCAGCGGCGGAGAGGGCGGTCCAACCCCTGGCGTTAGGGAGGGGGAAGCCTCGGATGATCTAGATAGAACATCGGATTTTAATGAGATTTTCATAAAAATTTGAAGAGCTAAATAGGATTTGACTAGGTTGTTAATGTTTTTTGTTTTTTCGGATGTTATTTTTACCTCTATATGGATGGATAAAGGTGATTTACCGCTATCTTAATATGATTTGACCTTTGGATCTTTTTGGGGGTTGCTATACGGAAAATCAGAGCACAAGTACTGTATGGCCGAAGGAAGTTTAGAAGTCAAACCTCCGAAAATATGGACACATGGAAAAGCAGAGGTGGGAAGAGTCAGAGAAGAAGGTAGAAGAGTCGCGAAACACTGTGTTTCCCCATGGCTTGTGGCTCCGGAGGGTCGAAAAGTAGGCTCGCTAAAGCGGCGGGTTTGGAGCCATGTGGCCAGATAAGAGATGAAAAGTTGCACGCTGTTGTGGCACGAAGCACATTTCCAAGTCAAAGTGTGTAAAAAACACCATTCTCAGACCACTTTTGGAAGTTGAGATGTCGAAAAAGTGCACGCCGTTGTGGCGCGAAGCACATTTCCAAGTCAAAATGTACAAAGCACACCATGTTCGGACCACTTTTGGAAGTTGAAAGTTCAGATGTGGTTTTGCGTGGCAGGCGCAAGGGATTCTGCACCCTGCCAAAAGTGAGCAAAACGCGAGGGTCTTGTGGAAATTCCAAAAACGATGGCAGGCGTGGTACAGTCGAAGAGGATCTGGAAAGATGCATTTGGCGTGGCAGGCGCAGTACAAGAGACATGTTCATCAGAGCTGTTAGGAGGTCAGGGCGCTGATTTCCTGAGAGGGGTTGCATTTTGGAGCATCAGATCTGGGAAGATGATTTTGCGTGACAGGTGCAGCACTTCGTATGACCTGGCATCACTTTTTCGTGGCAGGCGCGTTACTTTACACAGATGGAGTGGAAGAATCGCAAAACGAATTGGCACGAGGCGCTCTGCACTCAACTTTCCATGTTTGAAGGAAGTCTCGCAGAATTGCTTTGTTTTTGATGTTATCAAGGTCAAAATCTGAAGATGTCTCGCAGAATAGCTTCTTTTTCAAGCTTGCAATTAGACAGATAGATAGATAGACAACTACAACTACCACTACTACTACACTACAACTACAAATACAAATCAGTACGCTACATGTCACTACACTAATTGCACTGCATTACACCAATTACACTACACTAATTACAGTACACTACACTAATTACACTACACTACTTACACTGCAACTGCAACTACTACTAAACCTACAGCATACTACAGCTACAACTACAACTACACTACATTACACTACACTACACCAGTTACACTACACTACATTATACTACGCGACACTAAAACTACAACTACAACTGCACTACATTACGCTACACTACACTAAAACTACAACTACAGCTACTACTACAACTACAGCTACAAGTACAACTACAACTACACTACAGTACACTACACGACAACTACAACTACAACTACAACTACAACTAAACTACATTACGCTACAACTACAACTACAACGACAACGACAACTACACTACATGACACTACACTACTACGCTACACTAATTACACTACATCCAGCAGTTGTGGGTGAGGTAACCACTGCAACCATTCCAACCACTCCAAAAAACACAACTCCCACCACCTTTCTGTCCATCAGTGGATTCGCTCTGCCATCCATGCATCACAACGACTCACCTCTCCTATAGTGTCCTTTCCTTGAAACTTCCGCCACCGCCTTGTGCTGTACTACTGGTATGGGGTTCTTTGGAAATTCCCCGAGAAAGAACGGTTATATACAGGAATTAGCAATCAGATGTAACTGGGACGTTGTAACTACTTCGGATAGAAGTAGAAACTATCACCCAAGTGTTCAATCATTAATTACTTTGAGAGCTACTCCTAGCAACATGGATAGTGATCAAACAAGGGGTCTGCCGTAATCCCTGTAATTTCCCTATATCGAAGCGAAAGTTGAATTCTCACCTCAACTCCTTGGACAATCCAAGTCACAAGGAAAACCGTTTTGGGAGTCTGGGTCAAACTCCGCTCAACAGGCTCAACGGGCTAAACAGGGTGAAAATCGATTGGGGTCTCAGGTTCCGCAATGTTCCAAGACCTATGGCATCTTGATCATCCAAAGAGTCCCGGCGAAGTGAGTAACAGTCTTCAAAAGAATTGAGTCAACTTGAGCCACCAATCCATAAATAGTGTAAATAGTATATGTGGCTCAATTTGATGGAAATAGATTGGTGGATCTATTTACATCTATTACATCTATTCCCCAATGGCTCCATAAGTATTGTGTAAATAGATGTAAAATGATGTAAATATAATATGAATTAGTCGTCATTGGGGATCAGGATTGGTGAGACGCCCTCCAGGTATGGATCCTATGAATCCTGGGAATGGAATGACTTTGCTGAGAACCGAAAAGTAGAAAGTGGAAAAGCTCCCTATTTTGGAAAATGAACACGATGAACAACAAGAACCTGGGAGGTTGTTGTTGTTTGTTGTTTTTTATGTTTTTTTGCTTTGCAACACCTATTCGCATGCCGAGCCTGTTGTCCTTCACGCTGGCATCGGCTCTTTGAGCCAGCAACATCCTGGCACCCGGGCAATCGGGCCGGGTGACTGCCATGGATCCCCGTTAACCAGAAGTGTAACAGCGCAGGTGTTGACAACCTACAGAAGTTCCAAAAAAACGTTTGACCTACATGAATCTATTCGTTTATATCATTAACTCACCAGAATAAAACTCAGTATCCGATTCTATCACCATTTGACGAGCTACCAAAATGAGTAGTTATCTGGTGGTTATATCCCGATGGATCCCACTATATCACAAGTAGTTATAGCACCTACATCCCATTCTTTCCCATGGCTAGTGCTTCCGGCTTCCGGAACCCCCCAAAAAATAACGCATATTCCTATAAAAGATTTCCCCAAGTAGTGGATTTCTGGAAAATAAGCCAAAAACACTCAGCAAAATCAATGTTCCGACCATTTTTCTTGGTGAATTTCCATGTTTTAATCGTTTTTGGTCGGTTTTCCACGATGAATCCCCTCGATGTCGTGACTCGCCTCACCACCTTGGCTCGGCCCCGCAAGGCCATGGCGTGCAGCGGCGTCTCCCCGCGGTCGTTCGCCGGCCACGTGGGCGACGTGGGCGACGTGGGCGACATGGCGTCCGCCAGAAGCCGGGCCAGCGCCAACTGGAAACAAAGGGCAGAAATGGCGGGTGTGTTGTGCAGTGATATATACCCACCTATATATGTCTAGTGTATCATATATGTATATATATATTATACACGTATACAGATAAATACATAGAGATCTTATATATAGTGTATGAGTATATACATACACAGATAATGTATAATGTATCCATAAATATTATACTAGATATAGTATGATATAGTAAGCAATCCACGACAATACAAATGACTGTAGAGAATTGTAGAAAACCGAATGGAACCTTACATGATATCACTTAATTCGATGGGGCAATGGAGGTAACCTCCTGTCTTGAATTATTTGGCTAAGCAAGTGAGACAAAATCAGCTGAAATTTGACGAGAAGTGGGCAGTGCTAAGTGTGCCAGTTTGGGCCCTAGTACTTGAAATATTTTGAAACCAGCGAAAAGTCAGCGAAATTCAACCAAGCTGGAACGCTGGAACAGGACCTTATTCACCAAGTGCTTGCAATCTGAACCAAAAATAGCTCATATTTTGGTTTTGTTGACCCTTTCAATCTCCAAAAATTTGCCCAGAATTGCCGAACCCCTCACTGCCAGAGCTGATCAAGTTGTACCAAGCACAAGTTAAGTTGATGCTACCAATCTCACCCCATCCTGTCACGGAACCCACATTGCCGGCCCGGCGGCACCGCGGCATACTTCGGCCGCGCAGAAAGGTGGAGAGGACTGGCCGTTTTTTGAAGTTGCACACCACCAGAAAGGTGCAGTTGAGGACCCCCATAAGTTGGGATATAATTCCCATAACTATGGTGAAATCTATCCACTTGGTGAACTATGGAACTGCACTTTTTTAGGTTTACCATGGTTTACCATGGTTTACCATGGTTTCATATTGGACTCTGGGAGCTGTGAAACAATGCCACTGTAAGGTGGGCCACCCTGTTTGGGCCCTGTTTAAGTTGGTTTACAATGTTTACAATCTCTTGCCAGTGTAGATACTGTATATCATGCTATTATATATATAATATAATATAATATAATATAAGATAATATAATATAATATAATATAATATATAATATAATATAATATATAATATAATATAATATAATATAATATATATAATATAATATATATAATATATATATAATATATATAATATAATATATATATATATATATATATATATACACGCCGTAAAGCTAATCCTTAATAACATTAACCTAGTGAAATCAACGTAACTAGCTGCTAGCTGCATGGCTCCATGGAAAAAAAACCTGGAGCCTGGTATAGTAACTGCATAGTACTTAAACATACAAAAAATAATGCCATCCTAAAAGCCCCAAAATCGAAAATATCCAAAATAATCCAAAATACTCCAAAAGTCAAGAAAGAGATATGCATGATATGCCGAACATCTTTGTTGCTTTTCCCTGCAGCAAACTACCATACATAGTCTTAGGACAAGCCACCATTTCTAGATCATGGTCCTTGGGAAGCGATCGGTTCTATGGATGTTTCGTGAAATAATGGGAGCACCCCTTATTGATTTCCCCTTATCAAACCATTACCGAAGACAACTGGATGACAACTGGCACTCAATTCCCAGCATTATCACCACATATCACCACTGTATCCCCTTTCAGCTTAGATTGATCAAGTTCATCCCTATCACATCCCATTTGGTTTTACCCCAACCGGTCACGTTTATCCAACCCTTTAAGTAGCCCCTTTTCTTGCCATGGCCTTTCTTACAAGGTGGTGCCCCATAGTTAGCCAAGTTGGTTTATAACTCCCATAACTATGGTTTATGGCAGATATAACTATAGTTAATGGGTGTTATAAACCAACTTATAACTAGGGAGCCCCACATTGTAGGGAATATGGATACCGCTCCCCTCAACACCACCAGCAGCGACCTGTCACCTTCTTCATCGCGCAGCTTGGCGGACGCGCCGTTCTGTAGCAGCGCTAAGCAAACAGCGCTGTGGCCTTTTAAGGCCAGGGGTCGAAAAAATGTGGGAAACATGGGTGCATTTTATGGCCATGCTATGACTATCTTAATGAACATGATGAATGTTGATAGATGTTGATTGTGAAAATGGTGATTCACCTGTGAATTTCGGATTGTGACTCTAAAAATAAAAACACTAAAGTGATTAATCCAATAAATGAATCAACAGCAATGTGACGGTCCCGGTGTTAGATTTACTTTAAACCACAATCTCCATAATTTCTTCTTAGTCATCCAACCTTTTCAGGCTAATCAATGTCACCCATATGACTGGATTTGCCTGTTGACTTTGGGTGACACCACCAGAGTTGACCCAATTTGGGTGCTACTCCACTACTTTTTTTTCGGATGTTTTCGGATGTTTTTGGTGTCAAACCATCCCAAGAGTATTGGTCAGACCAAACCATCACCACTCTTCTCAACGCAGAAAAATGTGGAGCTCCGGCCGCATCGGCCAAAGATCTGCATCCGAGGTCCACACCTTGCAGAGCTGCCTGGTGCAGCGGCGTCCGTTGCTGCGCATCCACCACGTCTGGATCAGCATGGAAAGCTAACAGCAAACGTGTGAGCTGTTCCTGGCGCTGATCCAACGACGTAACGAGATTGACCCGGGGTGATGGTGGTGATGGAGTCATATAGATGCAATATGATGTTTGTACTTTGTTGGACCAATGGCGCATGGCAAGCGAGTATACATGAGGATACTATCTACTAAGGTGATCTAAGGTGATCAGTGAAATTGTATAAATGTGTTCAAGTCTAGGGCTGTAGTGTGGCAAATAAAAACATGGGGATACGCGTGGCCACAATCAGTGGCTCATGGTTTTGACCCAAGGGGATCGTAAAGCCAATTTGCAATCATCTGCCCGACTAGTGATGGAGAGGACATGAAAGGAAACCTGTTTGAAACCAGGATGCGTGCGTCTGGCGTTCAAAGGTATATTCATAAAGACTTACGGATTTCACTGCAAAGAACTGATGAACATAAGACATCGCTCAGTACAACTGAAACAGAAAATTTAGCAAATTTAGCACCTACAATAATATGTCCTACAAGTAAAATGGTAAAAATAGAGGGGCCGGTTTGGTATACCATCTATCATCATAGAAACTTGTTGTTAAAGGGGTAAACCTTCAAACCCATCAAGAAAAATCAACCAATAGGAAAAGGACAGCCAGAGCCACCTGGATGGTGCCCCCTTTTGTTGATGTTCGTTGGTTTATCAACCCCATTCACATCCACTAACTATAGCTATACCATGTTATACCTTAGAATCCCATTAACATTGACATCCTATTTATTAACCCCATTAATATCCCATAAGCCATAGAATTCAGCCACCTTTTTTCGGCAACGTGGCAACCCGTGCAACCCGGCCCCGAAAAACCATCGATGGACCTCCCCTGCCGCAGCGCTCAGGTGCAAGGGACTGCGCAGCAACTGGTCTCGGGGCGCCAAAGCGGCGCCCAGCTCAAGAAGCTGACCTTGCTGCGGTGATTCCCTGGCTATGGCATAACTACCCGGCCTGGTAAACATACAAAAAGCGATTGAAGCCATGGCCCAGTCAAAATAGTGGTTTTTCCCATTAATAGCTGGTGGCTTTGTTTTTTTGTTCATCCCCCGCAGTCAATGGATGTCAATGGATGTCATAGGTTTCAAATGTCAACAAGAAGTCGTCTCCAGATTCCCGCGTTGTTTCGCACCGCGTGTCCCCACGAGTTCTTTTGGCATCTTTCCTTTTCACCGCCTCCAGCAGATTGCCGGGGATCGCCTTGGTGGCGTCCGCTGCAACGCTCCTGGTGGCGGTACCGTTACCAGAGGTCAGGTGGTTTGGGGAAAGCTTGGCCAAGTATATTTTGAAAGATGTAGATGAATAATATACAGGGGGTAAATCTCAAAGATGTGTTTTCTTATCGCGGATGAGCTTATGCAAACAAAATGAAGAGCTGCGAACAGTCTCGGCGAGATTCTTGGTGGCCTGCTGGTAATAGATGGAGGTGACATTGGGCAAAATTAAAAAGAATTATGTCCTCCAAATTTTCCGTGATAGCACTTTTGATTTGCGAATATTTGCGAATATATTGGCAAATTATTAGTTGGGCAAATGCAAATCTATAGGAATGACGCAATGGCACTTTCTCAGCGGCCATCCCTCAGCTCTCGTTGAAAACTTGGGATCCTCTGGAACATGGTCTGGGCCTTCCATCGTGAGTGTTGTCGCGAGTATCGTAGTGAAAATTCGCAGTATGTTTGTGTTGTATAATGATGTGGAATATGTATAATGTATTCGTAGTGTAAAACATTCATTTTGTTGACTTGTCCATATCTGAGAAATTCCCATAGCCTTCTCATTCCCCAGTGCGTGTCTCCAGCAGAAGACAGCCACCAGATTCGCGGCACCCATCCCGCTCCAGGAGAAACGTGATAGGATGTTATAGGGCAGCCATATCACTGATGGAGGTACCATGGTTCTACCCAAAGGAGCAAACCCCAACTGCACCAATAACTTGAAACAACTGCCACCAGTGAAGTCGTTTTTGAGACGGAAGCATATTGAGCTTCTAGGCGCTCTTGTTTGGGAGGCTCGGTGAAAGATCTCTGTGGGAAGATATGTGAAACCTCATGAGGGCATGTCGAATAATGTTTGAATAGCCTAAATTTGCTAAAACGCATCTGCGATCATCTGTGCCAGGACTCAGCTTGCAAAGTAGATTGTCAGGAGTATGGCCATGCTAAAAACACCTTGCTTTGCCCATGATATTTGTGACTTCAAGCGAAATTAGCCAATGGCTGCCGGAGCAATCGCAAGTCGTTGGGCATGGATTGCAGCTGAGCAAACAGTTTGCCCTGCCCAGGCTTCGACCCACCTCGACCCGGCTCCATCCAAATTGAAGAGCTCTGAAAGGAAATGCTTCCCATAATGATACCCTCTGGTAAACATACAAAAAACTATTGGAAAATCACCGTTTTTGATGGGTAAATCAACTATAAATAGCCATGTTCAATAGCTATGTAAAATTACCGGAGGGTACGTCATGTAACCTTTGCCAGAATAAAAAACCTCCCAGTCGGACATGCCCAAAAACTAGGTAGGTGAACATCCAAGATGTAAATATACATGCATATACATGCAATCATAAATACCCATTAAACCGGTTTGTATTTACCATATGCCCATATATAGCACATCACGTTTAACATCATATAATCACTGAGGTCATCAAGCATTGGATCAACTGCTGCGAATGCGTCTGCAAAAGCACCTGGGCGGAGCACTTTTTTTCGAGCAATGGCAGAATGGTGACCATTAAATCCCTAGCCCTCAGAATGGTGACCATTGGTCTAGTCTCAAGCAATCTGAAACAAAAGAGCAATGGCAGCCATGGCAGGAAGTATCGTATAGATTCGTATAGTATACCCTCCGGTCATCAAACATTGCAATGGAAAATCACCATTTTTAATGGGAAAATCCACTATAAATAGCCATTTTCAATTGCTATGTTAGTTCACCAGAGGGTACCCTCCGGTCATCAAACATTGCAAGCTGGGAAATCCCCGTACTAGCCATGGAGGTTTAGTTCGCTGGGAAAATCGAATCGGTCTCTATCGAAGGTGGATTAGCCAGCCATGCTTGATGACCGCTCAGGGTTTTTTTTCGGGGGTTTCCTGAAATAGAGGTACCCCAAATCATCCAAGAATAGACAATTTTAGCATTGAAATCCATGGGTTTTGGGGGTATTTTCATTGAAACCTTCATGTTATCATGTATATTCTGGGTCTGGCACCAGTAAGGTTTCCACTTGGTCTTTGACCTTAGATCCCCACAAAGGGGCGGCCGTGACGCATGTTACACCACTGCGTGTGACGTTGTGGAAACCATCCAAGTCTTGTGAACCCTTCATCGGTTAACGCCGTGCTTCCGGACCATTTGGATCATCTGTGGACCTGTCGCACCCAAACAGCCGGCGCATTTTCTGAGCTGGAAACGACTGATTCCAAGGTTACCAGTTTGTTTTGGAACATTTCCAGTACTCAACTTGATAGAGTAGACGTTTTCCGGAGTTCTTCCCGTTTTGTAGGAGATCAACTCTTTCATTGGCAGAGAAGCAACGCAACTTCATTCGTTGATATCAGGGCAACTTCATGCCAATTGCGGATCACAACCCCCAACTAGTTACTAGGCACAAATGAATAGTAGGTGCCCCTTTGAAAAATAATGGTACCGCGATAACAATGGAATGGCTAGAATACTCTTCGTGGTTTCTAACGTCCGCCCTTTGGGATATCCCAAATGTCCCACCATCCAAGACCCAAAGGGATCAATAGTGACAGGGAATGGTCAAGATCCATGATGTTGACTGAGAGACTGACGTCATCTTGTGTTGGGGCATGGTCTACAGTCTACATGTCCAAAGACAGGAAATTTTGAAACCACTACTTACACTTTGTTAACCACTTAAAATTTAGGAATTCAAGGCTCCAAATATGGTTCAACCACATTGTTAGTATATATACATATAGTATCATATATTATATAACATATCTATATATATATATAGTATAATATGTATATATATATATATATCATATAACATATAATATATAATATATAATATATGTATATATGATAAACATATATATATATATACATCAATATATATATATATATATATATCAATATGTATATATATAAACCATGTTGAAGCAACATACAAAAGGCCGGACGTTTTTGCTCATCCCTTGGCGGCCTGTCGGGTGCTCATGCACGTGAGGAACACCATGCACCTGCAGCCGTCAATTGGCTGGTTGGTGGTTAAAAAAAACCATCTTGAAGAAATATGAAAGTCAATGGGAAGGATTATCCCATATATGAAATGGAAAATAAAAGTAGTTGAAACCACCATCAAGTGGTCAATTGCAAAAGAAAAGGTCAGATATGGTCAGATATGGTCAGATATGGTCAGATATGGTCAGATATGGTCAGATCATCCAGCTGTATCCAGATCAATTCCAGATTACTGCCGGCTCCAGTTGGATATCTCCTGACCATCCCAAGTCATCCCAAGTCATCCCAAGCCGCGCCAGTAACAGGAGGAAGGATCCGTCCAAGTGTCGCGAGAGGCGCCAAAAGCGATCGTCCACCATCGACCTGAAAGAGGCGCCCCTTACAGTATATGGGGTCGCTGAAGGGACAAATCACAGGATAACATAGGATAACTGTGGTAGGGTGTCCTCCCAGTTTTTGTAGTTTCCGGAAACTGATGTTACCCTCTGGTAAACATACAAAAAACTATGGAAAACCGCCATTTTGAATAGGTCAATAGGTAAAATCATGGTAAATCAACGAGCTCAATGGCCATGTTCACTGGCGAACTGTTGAATTACCAGAGGGTAAGATTTGATCAGATGCGATAAGTGGAGTTGCAAATTCCAGAACCAAAAAAAACTCAGAACTGGAGAAAACAAAGCCCCGCTACCAGGCGCACATCTCGACCATCGTGGGCACTTCAGTACGCCAACACGTTCGCAAATGGATTGCAAATAGATTTGCCATTTCCAAGATGGGTTGACAGTACAAATCAGGGTCTGCAGACTGGGTGGGCATCTGCAGTCCTTGTATGAAGCGAACACCTTTACCTGGCTCAGCTACCTTAGAACTGCCGTGGCTTATCCCATTGGTACGTTTCTTCACGATGGCAGGAACAGTAGATCGGCCATCCAATACTCTCCAGTGACCATCCGGTGGCAATGGAAAATCTCCCATCTCTTGTATAGTTGTCTTTGCCTTTAAACCCTCCATTTTAGTTCGGGGATTTCCCAGTTTGCCATGTTTGAGGACAGCGCCGGGTACATCCCATTATATCACAGCATATCAATTTAAGATTCCAGTATATCCCCACTAGATCGCCATTGAACCACTATTTTACTTCACTCACCAGTAGCTCACCGGTCACCAGTCTGTATCTACGGCCGAGTAACCCTTGGTGCTGCAACTGCTTGAGGTGCTCCATCTTCAAGGCCCAGACCTGCTATTTCTTGGGTCATTTCTAAATGTGTCAAAAAAAAAAGTAGGTGACACAAATATGGGATATTATTTGGATATATTTGGTCAAAATCTTTCCCAAACTAGCATTATGTTCAATATTATTGATGTCCAAATTTAGGTAGAATTTTTATGTGCCAAGGTATGCCATGACTTTGGCATGGTACAAAGCAGATTCTGACCAATCTGTAAGCCGGTGATGTATGGGACCCCACAAAATCGGAAACTCGATCGAACAGCCGGTTGATGACTTACGATTCCTCAGGATCCTCCAGGTAGGGAACAGTTCAATTTCAAGACCACGGCAGCTGTGATGCTGTGATGCTTGTCTCTGTAATGGAATGTGGTGCAAGAGGGTTTCAGATATTCGATTTCGGGGCCCTGTAGTCACAATCAAACAATGACTTGAAGTGTCTTCAGGGATGAACGTCTCGCAGATCATGAAACTATAGCCATGAAACTATGAAAAAACTGCTGGCTTACATGCCTCTGATTTCCAAACCACTTTGTGGATGTCCAGATTTAATTTCATCAAACTAAAGGCGTCACTAGCACAACCCTAAGGAATCATGGGGGCCCCAATGGGGATTTCCTAAGTCATGAGGGATCCCAAAGTCACCATGGGTTTCAATACTAAGTCATGGTCATCCATGACGACTGGGTGATTTGGTGGTACCCCCATGACAAAACAGAAACCTCCATATATTGCCTCCACATCCCACGGGCACTCCGACAGCGCCCACTGCTTCAATCAATTCTTTCCCCACGTGGTGAAACTCGCGCCGCGAGGACATCAACCTCTGCCAGGAGTCTTTGGGGGGGACATCCTTAATTCGTCAGTGGACCCTGTGAACTATGTGACACTGCGGTATCTCTCACTAAATCACTAATCTAGCTGGTTTGACGGAAAATCTTGAGCGGCAAGGCATGTTTTTCCCCAAACAGCGTGTCCACACTGAGGGGTTCTTACGGTAGGAGTAAAGGCGGGTGCTTGATCAGGGTGCTCACTCTGGGCCCGAGCTGGAAATTTCCGTATAAAGTGGCTCTTGTGATATGAAGTGCGTTTCGACTGCGCAGGCTCGCACAAAGTGTGGCCCTAGGTTCTGGTCTGCGGCATTCTACCAGTAAATTTCCGCATGAAGTTGCTCTCATGAAATGTTGACGTGCATTTCGACTGCGCAGGCTCGCACAAAAGTGTGGTCCTAGGTTCTGGGCTGCGTCATTTTTCTTGTAAACTTCCGTATAAAGTGGCTCTCGTGAAATGTTGACGTGCATTTCGACTGCGCAGGCTCGCACAAAGTGTGGGCCGCGGGTTTGGTCTGCGGCATTTTACCTGTAAAATTCCGTATATAGTGGCTCTTGTGAAAGGAT